ACGTTAGTTGCGCTTACGAATTTACGTTGCGTGGACGTTTATCGGCAGAGTTTTAGACAGTTTCCAGTGAACAGTTGTTGTGCCTTTTAGAGAGTTTTGTGCCGTTTAGAGTTTACCGTTTTACCGATTTGGAAGTGTTTTGGTCGAGTACCGTTTCCGTTTACCGCTCACGAACACTACGAGTGATATTTGAAAATTCTTTTAAATTATTCAAAAAGTATGCAATTTGAAGGAATTTTCAAATATCACGAGTCGTGTACTGGGATTCTTGATTTCTCGAGCTTTCATATGATTACTCATTCATTATATGACTGAGAGAATTACGAACTCTCGCGCGTTCATTTGCACTACAGTTCAAATTAAAAATTAGCGTTAAATTCGCCTGCTCTCAGCCAATCACACTGAAGTTATTTTCTTAGAAATATATTAAAATAGGTTATCATTAGGTGGTGTTTAACATAAATCGCCAATCTCAATAACAAGTAATGAGGACAAGGTTATTCAGTCACTTACAGAAGCTGGTCTGATTATAAAAAATCCTCGAATTCTTCGAACAAGAGTGGAACCTATGACCCGAGAACTCTCCGGKAATCTCCAGGGGTTTAAATCTAACAAACCTCTCGTTTATTACACGGAGGATTATATAACTTAATTATTATCTTTGTCTGAATGACGTCTTCGTCCTTCACTAGTAAAATTTTACACGATCATTTCACTAGTAGCCTTAGTCCCGGGCCAGGCATTTTGAGAATTGTGAGTAATTGATAGTATTTCTAAGTCAAACAAGTTCTGGAATAAAGTTCCCTTTCGGGAGACTGAAAGAGACATCAAGGTCGGCGCTATAAAGGCAGCCATGACTATAACAAGAATAGCTCAAGAGGAAGGCATCCTATTCACAGGTTGCCAAACAAAATGTAGCACAGCAAAAATAGGAATGGGAAGACAATAAAATCATTTGAAAATATTGACTGGATCTGTAGCTCTGGGTCCTCAAAAATATACCCATCGCACACCACTTCCCATGATATGTTTTCTTTCCGAATCTCCGTAAACCTTTCTTCTCTCACAAGAGAACAGATGGAAAACCCTTCACTACAGAGAAAATAAGAAAATAACCACCCACCTTTCGTATTCTTTCCTCGCAGAGAGGGCCACGCCCAAATCGTACAAAGATCGCGCAGTTTCCTGATGGTCCCCCAGTAGTTGTTTGCGGATTTCAAGCGCTCGGCGGGTAAATTTAATGGCGTTGTCGTAATCACCCAAAGCATGGTAACTATTAGCAATCTTACTCAGTGTTGTTGCCACAAAGGGGTGGTCACCAAGGATCGATTCATAATCGGGTAATACGAAAAGTCGTCTTGTTTCAATAGCAGCCAAGTGTTTCCGTTGCATCATCTGCGAAGCTGTCGGAAGAAAGAAAACGAACAGCTTATATGTAAATGAATTAATTATTCAGGTCTTCGAAGTACATTTGTCCGCTTTGACCTTAAATTACCTTCCCTCGATCTGAAATTTTCCCACATGTACCAAGTAAAACCACACCAAAGTCCTACACATTATATGTTTCTATAACTAAGTACCACATCCATTTCGACATAAGTAGCCTGACTAGCCTAAATTTCCAGTGGACATTATATATTTAAGAACCTTTAACGGCTAACCTGGAAATATCTTGTTGTCGTAGGCGGGTGTTTAGCGGATCTCATGAAAAAGCGTTGGAAACGGTAACTTTCAAAGCAACACTATAATATAAATATATATATAAAACTGAACCTGCTAGATCGTTGTAGCAAGCAGCAAACATGACCTTGTCTTTATCCTTCATTGAATGTTTCGTGCGCTGTTTTCTCAATGTTAAGGCCTGGTTGAGAAGATCATAACCACTGTCAACGTGCCCCTCGCGAACAAAACAGAATGCAAGCTTGCTCAGACACTGGGCGCGAGTAGCGTCATCAAAGGCCGCGAGACTTGATTGAATTTCATTTGCACGTGACAATAAGCACTTGGCTCGATGCAATGCTATGGGACAGATGTGTGGTGTGCACGTGCAGCTTAAGACTATTTTCATTCCCATATTTGTCAAGCAAGCACTGTAAAGGTGCATGTCGTAGCGACAACGGTACGAAAGCTTGCAGAAGAGTGACTCAAACTCTTGTTTCCTCATCATTTTGGCAAGAAACACTGCTGACTTGTTAAAGCAGCGAATGCAGTGCTCCCTTGTAGTTTGGTCAAGCTCAGGATGATCATCTCCGCACCATGTCATGGCTTCTCGGATGTTTCCCTTTTCGTTCCTGTAACGTTCGATGGCAGACTTCGAATCTCGACTCAAAAATTGTTTACACAGCGTGGTAGTTAAGTCACTGTAATGGCGAATGAAAACTGGTTTGGCTGCTGTGTGTTGCGGCATCAATGAAAAATAATCTCTAAGAAATGGATGGAGAGAATAGTGGCAGCTTCTTCGATCAAAGCGTACAAGGCTGCTGTGTTTCAGACGATTCATGCACGCCTGCAAATCAAGATCAGGCGGCGGCTTAAACACGGCGATAAAATGTTCCTCGGTGAATCCGTGTGGAAATGTGGAGATCTTAACAAGAACATCTTGCTTTTCCTCGCTCAAGCGATTAAAGCAAACTTCAAGACACTTATCAATGCGGTTCTCGATTGCTATAAAGTCGCGGTTTAGTTCTTTTAAGAGCAAACGAGGTGTACTTGTCGACAGCCTTCGGATCAAGTTCTGTGGATTTTCTTTCTTAAGAATAGCCAACACAGTGCAGATGACGAGCGGAATTCCACCACAAACCTTGACCAATTCCCTCACCAATTCGTCGTCTAGACTTTTGTCACGCTTTGTAAACAGGGTTGCAGAATCCTCGTCAGATAAAGGCTCCAATTCTATCAGTTCACTTGCAAAACACACACTGAAATCGACGGTTTCTCTCGATGTGAGGACAAGATGAATGGCTGGGCACTGTCCCATGTCCGTTAAAAAAGCCAAGAAATCATCTTTCTTGTATTTTCCACGCATTTTGGCACAGTAAATCCCGGATTCTTGATCGCTTTCCTCGTTGCTAACTTGATCATGATCCTCAACATGTAGCAAGTTGTCAATATTTTCGATGATTAGCACCACGCTCTTGGGTTCAAAGGCTCTTAAGCGACGCATAGTTTCCTTTATCGGATCCTCATTGGCATCCGCACCGAAGGCCTCGATGATTTGGCTTCCCAAGTCCTCCACGCAGGTAACACCTCGAGGTTTCACGTAAGCAACAAACTTTCCTCTTTTGATCATCCTGTGTGCGACTTCTACCACCACCGAGGTTTTCCCGTACCCAGGAGGTGCCACAATTTCAGCAGCCTTGTTAGAAGTAAGAAGAGAAATAATCTGTTCGCACGTGTCGTCGCGGCCTACTAAATAAGTAGCATCTGGTAAATTCCCACAATGACCTGCTCGCTTTAGGTCCTCTGATAATAAAGACAAAAAAGGAGATTTACCAAAGGAGAGTCATTCAGGGAGAGTAGTATGCGTTGCCAATGCAAACTCATTATGGCTTATTTCGAAAGTGTATCGGCCGCGAGAAAAACCCAGGCTACCGAACGAGAGAGAATGGCCGTTTGAACTAGGCTGTACCATATAGATACCAACCAGGGTACGCTATAAGCGCCTTGGTACCAACGCTGAGATCGCTGGTAAGACAGAGCATGCCATGTATGTATATTTCTTTTTCCTCAGTGGCTACACCCCACCGAAAGAGAAAAAAAAAATCACCAAACAAGATTGATGGGCCAGATAATAGTAAAAAATTGATAGCGTCTTTGTTGGGCGCTGAGTCACACAGGTTAAAAATGGAACGATCAGTTTAAACCAAATGGTTGAAGGCTCGACTTAACTACTATCGCCTTGCTGTTTACATCGTAAGGTAAATGGTTTAAACTGTTAAACCTGAAAATGGATTGCGTCACGACTTCTTACCTTGCCTACCTTTAGAAGAGCCGCATTCTTCCCTCTTGTAGCGAGTGGACAAAGTCTCCCCTGTTGGATCGTTAATTGGTAGGTCGATGCTAACCCTATCGTTCAATGAAGAATCAAGTCGCTCCAAAGATGAATCTAGGAAAAAAAGAAATACATTGTTAAAAGCAATTACTTTTTCTTTTCGTTAACTGATTAGTTAATTGCTGGGAGAATCTCCTCAGCTTTCGATTTATGAAAAAAGATTGTTATAACTGTTATAGCGAGTAATTCAGTATTGTACATGTTTATACACCAAATGCAGGTTTACCTAACCTTTTACCTATGTTTTGTATTTCCTTTTTGCCAATGACAGTGTAATGTCGTTTTCAGGTTCTTTTGAGGCCCGCTCGAGCTTCAATTTGAAAATGCATAATTAGAATACAGTTTAAGCTAAAACCACAACGCACAAACGCACAACACACACAAAGTAGACACGCACAGAGTACAGCGTGTACTTCTTCCATACATGTACAACGGGGCGTGTGTTCCTCGTTAAAATTTTCACCTATAATCCTAGCTATACTAGCGATATAAAGAATAGTAGATATAGTATTGCAACAAAGCAGTCTTTGCTCTCACCGACGGTGTCTGGGAATTGCCTTGTTATGATCTGAATGGCATCATTACGCTGAATCTTGTCCAGTGCCTTCACAACATCCTTTAAGGTCGTGTCAGGGAACCGAGCAACCAGCCATTGCATGACTTCCTTTGTAGGACTCTTTCCTTTTAGTCCTACCCCGCCAAATGCTTGTCGAATGTCAACTGGGACTTCCAGTTTGCATGCCAGGTGGTGCCAATCTTTGATCCCTGGAATTTCACGATTGAGTTTGGCTGCCATTGTTTGTAATAGCTCTGAGCCTGGTGTCATGACTTCCTTGAGGGAAGCTCCATCTGCAGTGACACGAAAATACAGGTGAAACGGTAACTACAGGTTCCATATACTGTCCCTGATTGTGAGTGGTTGTTACTTTGGTGGATGTTTGAGGACGAAAATTACGATTTGCATTTCCCGAATTTCCAGCGGTGAATAGAACATCGTTTTCCGGAATTTCCGGAAATGGGGACAACCTCGCGAGCTGAACCCAAAATATAATTCAGAAAGGACGGAAAGTTATTACCAGGAATTTCCGTCCGATTTGATTTTGCTCTCGGAATATCCGAAATTTTCGTTTGAATGGTTCGTATTTCGGAAATTGATCAATTTCCGGATTTTCCGAAAACTTTCGAAGATAATTCCCGTACCATTTGCCCCCCGTGTCGCAAGTTCCAGATTTAGACACTCAGTCACTCAATCAGCCTTTCCAAGGATAATGTAAACCAATACTGACAAAAAAATACATTGC